CTGATAAGAGTTGGATAATTGAGAATGGTAATAGATTTTCACTGTCCTGTTTATTGACTGAGTAGGGATGATTTGAAGACTTGGCTTAGCTTGGACTAGTGAGCACAGCAGTTACATATGGCTTTTTCATGAGGCTTTGGCATCTCAGAGTAGTAGCTTGGTTCTAACAAGGTTTAAGCCAGAATAAATACCAAAATCTTAATGTGTGGTGTGGTGTGTTATGGATTACTACTCAACCACATTCACAGTACCCTTGGCTGTAGTACCTCTCTCTGTCAGAGGATTATATAGCCCTGTCTCTTATTCTCTGGTGTGACAGAGGTTTGGCTGATAAAAAGTGAAAGACATATGGGCACAAACTTTAAAAACTTGTGCATGATTTATCACTTTTATTTTCTTTCTGCCATGACAATGGCAATATTCCACAGAGAGTGCTCTGTTAGCCCAAGTCCAGACTGAAAATGACAAGTAACAGGGTCATGGTGAACATGTGACATTAGAGATTAATAAATCTTCTTGTAGATAGCTGAGAATCTTTTGGAATACTTTGTTACAAAGCACAACCTAGCCTATCCTGGCTGATAAACACGGTCTCTGAGCTCTTGCTTATTATTCCATCTCTTTGCTACAGCCTCATTGGCCCTTTGGTGGTTAAAAAATTGTTCCCGCCCACATTAGAACATTAATCTGTTATTCTCTTATTCTCTCTCTTGCTGTCCTTGGAAAGTAATTTTTTTTCCTTTGCCACTGAACACTTATCCACCAGTGAAATCCCAGCCTTATATGAAGTACTCAGGAAGGACTTCCTGACCTGTGTTCAAGGTACTCTGTGTTTACACTGTTGTGTCATTATATCTGTTTCACTAAATGACAAGTTCCATGAAGACAGTGACTACTTATGCTTTGGTAACCATCATATTCCCAGTGACATAATCTTTTCTCTTTCTAAAGAGCAGCATTTTTTTGTATCTTTGTGCATGTGGCAGAAAATAGCCATCATAACCTTAAGACAATTCCCCACTTAGGGGCAACCAATTAATTATCATTCCAATGTTCTGTTTCCAAATTCTTATAGAGAGATTCTGATTTTCTAAACTTGTGTGTAGTCTAGCAGTGGTCCAATCACAATTTCTGGAAGATCTAGATTAAGCAGAGTTAACATGGCCACAGAAATGTCTACTCTGGAGACAGGGGGAACTCTCAGGGAAGGGGATGAGGACTGAACTGACATCCCCAAAAGTATCTGCTATAGTCAGCACAGCAGATAGGAGCTTTATGTGTTGATTTTAACAAACTTCTTCTCAAAATTATCCTCATAGAGTATACAATAGTTTCTAATTTTTTTTTTAAGGAAGAAAAGGTGATAATCAGGTAGTTGTTTCTGTCTTCCTGAGTTTTGTCTTTTCTCTAGGATCCTTTCATTTTGATTGTCAATTCCACTTCACCCTGTTCTCTTAGAATTGTGGATGGGTTACTCTTTTTTCTTTTAAAACTAATATTGGAACCACGAAACAAAAACGAAAGAAAACCAACCCCTCTCTCCATTTTCCATAATATTGTAGGTACAAGGCAGAATTTTTAAACACTTTCTTAACAATTTAGGAAGAACAAAAAGGAAATACAAAATGGAGGGCAATAAAAAAGTGTGACTCACAAATTAAAGGTTCCTGACCCTTTCCCTGGATTTACTGTTTATATGAAGACCTGAATGTCAGTTTCAACAACACAGAGAATGAACACAGCAAAGTCAAGTTACATTTTTCCTGTAACATTTATTCTATCATAAAAAGAAAAATAGAAGATAACATTTTCTAATTAGAAACTTTTATGTTTAGTCATTTCTACCTCTGAAAAAATTTTAAAAGTACCCTTATAACTAGTTTTACAAAGCAAGTATTTTCAAGGTCTTAAACACAAACTTAAAAAATCTTTCCTTCTTTTTTGTTAATATAAATTAGACTATAGTGAGATGAACTGAATTTAGGATTCCCTAAAAATATTTGTAAATAGGGACTGATTACAACTCATCTGAATAAACACGATACACATTGCCATTAAAATTTTTTCAAGTGTGCTTCTGACTGATAAGTATGATCCATGTCCTACTACTTTTTTCCTGAACAGAGACTGTGAGCTGGGTAATATCTTTTGGTTTAAATTAATTTGATATTTTAACTATTACATTTTCCACATGATCAAGCAGTTTTTATATTGTGTTACATACCTCTTGTACTTCTTACCCCAGCACAACTAATCTCAGAAAAAAAATTCCTGTAACTTTCAAAACAAATATACAATTTGTTGCTTACATTTGCATGTGGTCTGTAAAATTTAAATTATTACCAATATTTATTTCAGCAATAGAAATATGTGAAATATGAAGTCTTTTAATGGTAAAAATTTAAGAGGGTATAATGCTTTAAATCTGGTTTAAATGAGGATTCTGTTGTGTAGGTTAAAATGAGCACAGGTAGCAATTAGAAGACTTAGGTTCTAGTCTCTATCTCTTCCACTAAGTAATAATGCTGTAATGTTCCTAATTACCTCAACTATAGCTATTTTTTTCTACTTAAACTAGAAACTTTAAATTTCTTCTAAAATTTCATGTTGCTGAGTAAACATTTTCTCTCATATCTAAATTTGTTTTTATAAAAATGCCCACTGATTGTAAGTCCTTACATAGGTAATTCTTAATTCCATCATTGTTAATCATATTAATATGTGCATATCAGCAATCTCAAATCCATTCCAGTATAAGAGAAGACAAAAATAAGTAAAATTATCAGCATGGAGTCAATGCCCCTGAATTATACACTTAAAATTATTAAAATGGTGAATTTTACATTATGTATATTTAAGTATAATAAAACGTTACACACACACACACACACACACACACACACACACACACACAGAGGGCTTTCCTAACAACTTGACTTACAATTTAAAATTGCATTATACTTGTTTTAGACATAAGTCTGTTTCCCCAAAGGATTCCCCAATAACTTGTTATAATAGACTTTCTTAATCCTAGTTATAATTCCAGGGACCAACTCTGTATGGCTCTTAGTTACCAGGGACGGTAATTATATATCATGGCTTTTCCAAGTGTTGTTAGTGTATTTTAATTATTATTTTGAACACAGGCAATTCATTAAACATATAAATATTTGTAAGGCTTTTGAAATACACACCAAAAAAGAAAAATCCTTCATCATTATATCATGAGTTGGAGTTTAGAAAATGTGGTCACAGAACTCTAGAACTTCAATAAATGTTGATTCACGAATGAGACTTGATTAGACAAAACCTAAGACCTAGCATCAGCCCAAAGACCTTGCCCGGAGTGTAAAATAAGTACACAATATTACAATTTTTAGGATGTATGTCAAATAATACCCTTCTTAAATAGCTACTTATTCAAATAATCCCTCCCACTTTCTCTAGGTATCTTTTAACAAAATTGTACTTCAGCCTGGAATCATCAAAAATAAGGTATCTGTCTAGACGATCCACAAAAGCTACCTGTTGGAGATTTTTGTTGATTATTCCTGAATAGCACAGTGTCATTTCTTAAAAACCTGAACTTAAACCACTTAGCCGTATGTTACTAAGTACACGGGTCAGTCTTGATGTTTACCACACCAAGGAGAGTTGGCTTCTTTCCATTCCCGAGGCTGATCCCGCCCCGTCTCCTTCAATTAAATTCAGCTAAAACAATTCAACAAGCCACCTAATTAAATTCTGAGCTCAGTAGAAATTTCCAGCCCAAACCACAGTAGTTTAGCACTCAAGGAAAGGGAAACTTATAAATTTCACGTTGAAAGTTGTCAGGGACCCAGCCGTTGACATTTCTTGAAAAGTTACAGATCCTATGCTAGTTAGCCAGCTGTGCACCTTGCTGGTCGGGAAGGCGCGCTGTGGATCCCGGCGAGCGAAGGGCAAGATTATGAGCTTCGGTGGACAAGGATAGGAAGGAAAGGGGAATAATCTATAAGGACTGAGTCCCGAAGCTCTTAGGGGTAAGGATCGAAAAAGGCCTATTCAGATCGGGCCACTGGACAAAACCACACAGAGAACGGGCTCCCTGAATCTAGCGTTCGCCCTGTGGCCGTTAAACGCAGCAGGAAAGTGGGCGTGTTTTCTTCCTCCTCTTCCCGCCTCCCTTGAGACCGGAGCCCAGTCCTTTCCCCTGGTTTTCACCCGGGCGGCTCCAATGGCTGACAGGCCGCAGACCTGAGTCGGAAGCGCCCCGCCCCCCCGCGCCGCTCGCGTCCTCGGGGTCCCGTCCGCCCAATCTTCCCCGCTCGGCAAGAGGCGGTGGCTCCGGCTGTCACGTGTGCTGGCAGCCGCCAAGTGAGGCCGCTTTTGCGACACGGTGACAGCCAAATGGTGCGACAGGAGGAGCTGCAGCCGCGGCCGCTGCGCCCCGCACCGAGAGGTTTGAGACGGCTCCTGGCGTCGCCCAAAGGGAGCGATTGAGCGAACAGAGTCCGGCGCGGCGGCGGGCGGCGAGGGGGAGCCGCTACGAGTACCCTCGCTCCCCGCCGCTCTCGATGAACCCGGCGGAATAAGCCGCCTCTCCAGCAGGAGCTGCGCCTCCATGAATCCTTATTTTTTTTTTTTTTTTTCCTCTTTCTCTCCCGGCTCCTCACCTCCCACCCCGGCTCTCGTCCCGCCTTCTCCTTTCACCAGCGGCGGCCGCTTTCAGGTGCGGAGTCCAGAGCGGAGCGCAATGGCGTCCAACCCCGAGAGGGGGGAGATTCTGCTCACGGAACTGCAGGTAAGGGCCGCGGCCCGGGCGGGAGGCGCTGGCCGAGGACGCCGGGAGAAAGTCTGGCGCGGGGTCAGGGGCCAAGGAAAACCGTGTGGCCGCCGCGCCCCTGGCCCGCTAAGTGCGGAAACTCTGGGATGTCACTGGTGAACCGCTTCCCTCGGGAGTCAGACCCTACGCCCGGCCAAGACCCGGCCTGCCGCCGCTTTGATTGGATTTGACCTACCAGAGGGACCCCATCTCTGCGGGCCAGCCAGGCTGCCTTGGAGTGTGCTCTTGCCGGGTCCCGGGAGCGGCCAGCTCACCGCCCCCTCCTTGGTGTCAGAGTAGCCCGCGAGCGCCCCCGTCGCCCCCTCCAGTGGCCCGCCCGGGCCCCGCCCCGTCTTTCCCCCCAACACCGCTCGGTAAACTCCTTTGAATGACTCCTAAGCTGTTTGCTCGTCCCTTCCCTTCCCCTCAGACTCTGCACAAAGAGCGCCCCCATAACTTCCAGCCCCAAAACATTTTTTTTAAGGGAGTCTCATCAATTACTTGCTTCGCTTCACCAGATCTATTCAAGTGACTTTCTATCCTCAAATTTGCAGGCTACCTTTTTCTTTTTTACCAATTAGTAGATAGATTCTCCCTTTCTTGGCGACCCCAGCTCATATCCGGAAGTTCAGATGTTGATGCTTTTCAGACTTTCATTTTCCCTCCCGTTTAAACGCCAGAGAAAGAGCTGCAAAAGTTGTTTACAAATGAGAAAGCAGTCGACCAAGGGAAAGCATTGGGTACCACATGTCAACAAAAGATGAGAACAAAGTAGAGCCCTTGATTATTTAAATCCATGTCGAGCAGCAATATTATTATTTCCTATTTCCAGCTAAATATTTGATATAGGCACGATGTTTTGTTTTTAGATCCAGGTTGTAGGAGGAGATATGTTATCCTGTCGGGTTTATTTTTCTTTACTTTGGAGTATTCCCGAGATGTTTACATCTGGATTAAAATTTTATTCCTTTTTTTTTTTTTAAACTTACTTTGGTTTGTTTTAATGAACTCATGTTTTGGTTACTCAGATATTAAAGTTGGGAATTAAGAGAAAAAGGAAAATAGCGTGCTTGCATTTCTTTTTGAGGATTGGACTGTTGATTAAAAAAAAAAGTTGAATCTAGAAACAAGGGTTGATTCTTGGTGTCAAAATTACATATTGAAACTTTGAATTTCTTGTTGGAATGCATTTTTCAACAGATCTCTATATAAGTTTGGTTTATTGTGTAGTCAGACATAAGGTGGAAGGCATTGCTGTAAATCTTGATTTTTCACAAAAGAGATTTCAGCAAGAGACACTAATACACTGTTGCAAATTTGGAATTCTTTGGAAATGCAAAGTTCAATTTCCTGTCATTGAAAATATTGCTATGTTGTGTTTAATTATAATTATCATTTTATAAGCAGATCTTAGAGTGTGTCACATTTGCTAAATGATTGGAATTTATTATTTTTAATTTACATGTACTTTTAAAATGAGGATGATTTGAGACACATCTCAGAAAAATTTTATCTAGTCTGGAAACATGAAAATCATACTTTGACTTCTATGGCTCATTTTTCTTTTGAATTGAGTGGGGCTAAAATTATGAAGTATTTGGCATCCTTGTTTGTATTTTACTTTTGGCACCAGAAGTGAAAACATTTTTGTTTATTAAAATATTAACAGTGTCTTTTTAGTTATATAAGGCCAATTTGGGCAATAATAAGGAAGCAAATTAAAGAAATAAAAAATTTTACCTGACAATTTAAAAAATAAGACCAAAGAAGGGGAATATTTAATATAAAGCTAGACTTTAAAATAAACTAAAACTTAACTGCCTCTAGAAAAAGAGTAGTTCTTGCTGTGAAAGATGATCTGTGCATATAATCCCAGCCACTTAGGAGGCTGAGGCAGGAGGGTCTCAGATTTGAGGCCAACCATTTCAGTCAGTTTAGTAAGACCTTGTCTCCAAAAATAAATAAATAAATAAATAAAAGAATACTTATTGTTGCTCTAGTAACCTTAAGGTCATTATATATATCCAGGACGTTTTTCTTGTTTTATTGGACTCCCAGTTCTAATAAAAGTTATTGCATTTAAAGTTTATCATGTTTATTTGAGAATATTATATCAGCACTTAAGATAAATGGTCATATAATTTGCTTCGCTAAGTATATCCTTTTCAAACATTTTATTATTTTGTGGGGCCATGAATCTGTCTTATAGTGATCATTAATCAAACTTCTAAGAATAATTTTTTAAAGCTCATAAATTATTTAAATTTATTTAGATTGAAAAAGTTCAATATGAATTTCTTAATGCTTCTCTGCTGAACAGATTTTATTTCCATAGTAAGTAATGCAGCCAGTTTAAAAATGTGTTTAATTTTTAAAAACTATTACTTTGCTGTATCTTGTCTTAGGAATACATGTTTCACTCTGAACATTGGATGTTACAACTTAACTTTAATGATGCTGATATTTATTTAGAAACATTGTTTTTTCATCATTTTTTTCAACTCATACTGCAGAATTTGAAATATGTTACTACTTGAGGACCTGAAATTGTTTTGCTTGTTAATAACCTCTGTAGAAGGATAGAACTAAGAAAATCTGAAATTATAGTAGTTTGTCTTGTTAATCACTGTAATGTTTCTTTTTTTTTAAGAGAGAGAGAGAGAGAGAGAGAATTTTTTAATATTTATTTTTCAGTTTTTAGTGAACACAACATCTTTATTTTATTTTTATGTGGTGCTGAGGATCGAACCCAACCCCCGCGCATGCCAGGCAAGCGAATTACCACTTGAGCCACATCCCCAGCCCCACTGTAATGTTTCTATGCAAAATGTTCCTAACTTTCTAGTAATTTGGAGAACTTATTAAATAAGTAAACATTAATAAAATACAAACTTTGATGGCCAGAGATTTCAGAGTATAAGGAAGAATATTTGCTATAGTAAAAATAAAGTGTTTAAATTATAAGCTTAATTGGCAATTTCTAATTTTTATATTTTTTAACTAATTTATTCTGTCCTGTTATTTTATTTATTTAAGTATAGAAGGAAACTTCGATATTTTTGTGAGGCTAAGGAAACTAAATTTTATTTCCAGGAAACTGAATTAACAACACTACAGTGAATCTCAAATGAAATGTTGGCTTTAACGGTAATTTTGTAGAATGCCAAACCAAATAGTGAGCAGCATACTAATAAGGTAACCTTGTTGATTATTGGTGATTTACCTTCTTCTTCAAAATACCTAGTGAAGTGTTTGGTTGGGAATCTTAAATTCCATTCCCAGCAGACTTTATTTAGATAAAGGGAATTTGCTTAAGTGAAAATTTGTGGTAGTTTGCCCTAAATTATAGGTATTAATTTTAACAAAGTTATTTAGTATCTACCAAAGCAATATTAGAGGATGTAAAAACAAGAAAATGACTTTTTGGTTCTAGAAGACACTACAACTAACTTTTGTTCTAGAAGAGAATTATATGAAAATACAAATAACTTTTATCATTTGCTACATATTTAACACTGTATTTAGTATCCTGTGTACTTTGACAATAACCTAGCAAGGTAAAAATTTTTTTTTCCATTTTTATGGATCTGGAAATTAAGTTCAAGAATGTTAAGTAAATTGCCCATGGTTGTAATAGAAGTCTGAATTTGAACTCAGATCTGTATGTTTTCCACTACACCATTGTTTAAGCTGCCATAATGCTGTGGACCCATAAATATTTTGCAGTCCATTGACCTTTTTACAGGCTTTCTTCATTTAATAATTACTGTTTCTGAAGAAAGATGTCAAATGTTTGCCAAAATCTCCCAAAAGATTTACCCTTTCTCTGTAGACTGTCCACAGGATCAATTTTGTAACGTTTTATGCTTTTGTACAATCTAGCTGTGTTTGGCACTTAGTTGGTGCTCAGTATGTTAATGGGAAGGCTATATTTGTCTCTGTATTTTCACTATTTTAAGAGAAGTTTGTTGGAATTGTGAAATTACAGTTAGCCCTCGGTGTCCGTGATTTTCATATCCATTGATTCAGTCAAATGCATATCACAAGTATTTGAAAACATTATATCTGTACCAAACATGAGACTTTTTTCTTGCTACTATTCCCTAAACAATGCAGCATAACAGTTATTTACATAGCATTTAAATTGTGTCAGAGACGTTGGTAGACTATATGCAGAGTTGTCTCTTGATCTAAAGGGGATTACTTCCAGGATCCCCATGGATTCCAGAATCCTCTGAATCCTTCATATAAAACAGTGTAGTATTTGCATATAACCTATGCACATCTTCCTGTGTACTTTAAATCATTTCTAGACTACTTATAATACCAAATACAATGTAAATGGTATATAAATAGTTGTTCTATGATGTTTAAGGAATAATGACAAGAAAAAGTTTGTTCATATTCAGTACAGGTACAATTTATTTTTTCAAATATTTTCTGATACTCAGTTGACTCCTCAGATACAGAATACTTTGATATAGAGGGCTGACAGTACTGCACTGTCCCAAGGAACTTGAGCATCCACAGATCTTAGTATTCTGGGGGGGATCCTAAACTAGCCCCTGCTCCTAATACAATTATATTTAGTTTTTTAAAATTTACATTTCTAATCCACTTTTTTAAAAAAAATACTCCTTCAAAAAGAACAAAAGGAATTTCTGCAAAAATTAATTACACCTATATACACCATACTTGTATTTTTCCCGTTTGATGGGAAATTAGGAGATGACATCTAATTTTGCAGTGATACTGGAAAGTGGAAGGTTAGAGTAATTTGGGGAATGTAGTATAAAAAGGTATATAGATTTTACAGTTTATTTGAATTATAAGTGTAATGCATTCTTATTGTTTGAAATTTGGAAAAATGCAGAAAAGCACAAAAGAAAATAAAAGTTGTTAATAATTCTAATATTTAGAGGTAACTGACAAACCTTTCCAACTTGAAAATGCATTTCCTTTTTTCCTTCTTTATCCCATTTTCCTTCTTTATCCCATTTTCCTTATTAGAATTTTAAAGAAAATTGAAGTTCAAAGAGTTATATTAGTTGGCTTTCTGTTAGTATAACCCATTCCTGATACTATCAACTTATGAAGAGAAAAGTTTTATTTGGGCTCAGTTTTGGAGGTTCTACTCAATCATCAGGTTGACATTGCTTTTAGGCCTTTTTGGTGAGTGGGTAGCACATCATGGTAGAAGTGCATATTAAAGCTCAACTTATGGCTGGGAAGAGAAAGGGTTGGGGTCCCACTTTCCTGTTTTAGGACAAGCACCAATTACCTGAAGACTTCTCATTAGATCCCACCACT